CTATCTAGATATCGAGTGAACTCTGTCTAAAATATATAGTAAGAATTTAAAAACTGAATGCTCTTTTGTGAATAAGTAATAAATGAAAAGAAAAATTCCTTACTAATATGTTTCCTATTAAGAATGTTTATTTACTACGTGGTTTTATCTCTACTCATAGAAGTTTAATCTTTGTAGATTTGATATGACAAAGATGCGTTAACTAGGAACGGTTTATAGAGGCATGATTATGTCCGATTAGGCAAAATTGGGGTTTTTAGGCTAAGCTCGTTAGGATCCCAAGTCCGAACCATATTTATACTTGAGTGTTGAGACAGCCAACAAAATATTCACATATAATTTATTTAAAACATTTTCTGCTGGCTGGGAATTGACCTACCGACCTAAATGTATATAGCTGCTTAAGTAAAAACACTACGAGCCAAAGAGAATCTGAATAAATGTGCAATTGGTTCATGAACTCATGATGGTCGCGATAAGAACAGCATTGACAAGTTGACAATAATACTAATTAATACGAATAATATATTTTCTAAATTATAATTATATACCAAAACGACGTTCATAATAATTTAGAGGTACTACGTATCTACAGAAAGGAAAAACAAAGGGTCCGACTTTGTATATGTAGGTGAATGCTGATAAAATATTGTAAGATATTTAGTTGTATTAAAACAAGTTGATCCTCTTCACATTCTTCTTAAAACCCTATAAATACTCACACCTTCTCTTCATTTCTTTTCATCACTATCTCTCTCAAACACATTCAATAATCTCTAAAACACTCTTATCTTTTAAAACAAGAATGGCTTCAAAGAACTCAGCCTCTCTAGCTCTTTTCTTCGCTCTCAACATCCTCTTTTTCACCTTCACCGCTGCAACTCATGATTGTGGTTGCACCCCTAAGGTTCCAAGTCCTAAAGTTCCAAGTCCCAAGGTCCCAAGTCCTAAGGTTCCAAGCCCCAAGATCCCAAGTCCTAAGGTTCCAAGTCCTTCGGTACCAACCCCTTCGGTCCCAAGTCCTTCGGTCCCAAGCCCGAGCACCCCTGGCTCATCCAGAAACTGTCCTATAGATGCCCTCAAACTCGGTGTATGTGGAAACGTCCTAGGTGGCCTACTCAACATACAGTTGGGTCAACAATCAACTCAACAATGCTGCTCGCTTGTTCAAGGTTTGGTTGACCTCGAGGCTGCGGTCTGTCTCTGCACTGCTCTTAGGGCTAATGTTCTAGGAATCAACCTTAACGTTCCAATATCTCTCAGCCTTCTTCTCAACGCTTGTAACAAGAAGGTTCCGTCTGGTTTCGAATGCGCTTAAAGGATATCAGCTCTCCATATGGATGTGCACACACAGTTTCCTTTTTAAAATAATATACTGTTAGAATAAATGCAAGCAAGCTAGAGTTTTAATTAATAATTAAATTTGAATTTGTTCGAGTGAAATAATAAATGTATGAGTGTTTTATTGTTCTTTGTAAACGTCCCTGTCTTCGGCGCTGCTATGCTTTTGTCGTAATATACTTCTATTTTCAATCCGTTTAATGAAAGAGATTTTGTAACCAAGTTGTTCTAAAATACTTCCATTTGGATTATCTTACAATCTTCACATTGCCATAATTCATGCTAGAGAATCCTACTTTGGTGTGATATTTGATTTCTACTAGAAATCTCTTGATCCTTAATTTTGTATTTCATTCATTTTAGTCCTCTTGTGGGCTTAAGTCCCACTTTTATCCCAGAGGAAAGGATGGGGTCGAACCCTACATGCACCAGCGACAGTCAAGAGCATTTTTCTCCTTTCAAACA